GGGTGATCATGGGCCAGACGGTGTCCATGGGCCATGGCTGTGCTGGCTTTGGAGAAGTCTTTGCAGCTCTTTAAACTGCTGTACTGTTTGGTCCTTCACATCTGGGTTGGAGATCTGGAGTCTTATGCTGTCTGTGGACCAGCTCAGCTCTCCAGAGAACATCTCTGTCAGAATGCGAGCCACGACAGGTACAACCTACCAGACACAAAACTACAGTCAGTGCATGAAACCAATATGTTGTGAACACTAGGGACATTAACCAACCTGGACAATAATCAGTTTCTTTTCTTTAGGTTTCCTGTCAGGCCAGTCCTCTCCAAAACAGAACGTGATCTCAAATGGTGGAGGATTTTCAGCTTCACCTTTCTGAAACATAATCAGCCCTGGAAAATTTTGAATTGGTGTTTGAAAATAAAAAGGATACAGAATGCATCGTTCCATAGACTGTGGCTCAAGATTCAAGATTTGTATTGTCATAGGTGGTGGTGCTCTGGCTGGCAAACATTAGAGTCTTTTTTTTTATTTCCAGTGTGGCCAATAAATCTAATTGATCTTACAGTTTTTGTGCCATTGATTTGGCCAAGCAAAAAATAATGAATATAAAATTACTGTAAATGTAAATACTGAAATGTTAGCAAAGCTTTCAGCCAAGGTTGGTGGTTCAGACTCTATTGGGACCATTACTTGGGCAAGACACTTGCTTGTGTATGAATGTGGTGAGTGAGTGAGTGGTGGTGGTCGAACAGGCTGATGGCACAGATTAGCAGCCACAATTCTGTACCCCAGGGCAGCTGTACCAGTACAAATTATGAAGTGATTGAAAAGCGCCTATGTATTTATTATAATTTGTTTATCATTATTAATACCTTGCAGAAAGTCATTGAGGCTGAAGACCTTTATCTTTTTCTCTCGCTCCATAGGATTAGGCACAGCCTGTTCAGGTACTCCTGGACCAGACCAGAACACTTTACATTGGCAGAGGCGAATGGCATAGATGTCCTGCTGCCAGATCTCGAGTATAAGGCCGCGGTCCATCACGTCCAGGAGGGCTGCAGTGTAAAAACGCTGCTTCTGGTTCTGGATCTGTTCAGTCCCTGGAAACAGGACCTGCTGCAGATTGACCGGTCCAAACAGGTCCACCTGATCTGGGGTTGGCTCCAGGTGCCCGAAGTACAAACGACAGCCCTGAGAGTTACTCACAGTCAGTGAGCCTGCATTGCGTCCACGGTACAGGAACTTCAAGTCCAGGTCTGTTACTGCAGGAAAAAAAAGTTAGTTTTGCATTTGGATGATTCTTTTATGGTTTATGTATCTTAGGAACCAGAATCTAGACATAAAAGTACATACAATGTGTGACTTTTTAATGGTTTCCCCTTTTTCTTTCTTAATTTTGATATATACTTCAGGATGAACCAATATAAAAAAGTATTCAGTCAAATGACTGATCTTACGTACTTACACGGGACACTGTTGAGTAGGTCATACTTGTAGTTTTGCGTTTGAGAATCATTTTCTGTGTGGACTGTCCCCACAGCATTAGTTTCCATCACTGAAGAACCAGGCAGGGGGTTCAGGTCCTGGAGCCCCACATAGGGCCTCTGGTCCACCATATGACCAGAGGCCTGGAAGTCCTGCTGGGAAAGGCTACAGGGCACAGGTGGGGTGGGGTGCATTGTTTCTGGAAGAAGGGGCATGGGTATAATTTGTGGTAATGTCTCACTGGACGATAAGCTGAAGGAATTGACTTCAGTGCGGGCTGAGAAGGGGTTGTAGGGCTGTGTGTCACTGAGCCGTGGGTCTGAGGAGCAGCCAAGAACAACATTTAAGAGACTAGAAACACCATAAACAAAAACAGTATTACAGTGTATAGAGTTGCGGTGTTAGTCTTTGTCAAGTAATGCAGTACTTGAATTAAGTAGAAAATAAAATGTTACTTACTGATACTAAGCTCCATTAAATTTGGCATCTTGGAATAAAATGTACAAAATAAGTTAATGCAAAAAAATTGTGTATATTTAAAATATGAAAAATGTGTTCACCTCTTCCTCTTCATCATCATCACAAGCATCTAAAAAACAGAATAAACACTAAAGAATATAGAAGGTTTAAAAATTGACTGGTAAAAAGATTTCACCTTGGACCATTATAAAAAAATCACTTGATGAAATCTCACCTGTACAACCCACGGTGTCGCACACTTCGTAGATTTTGAACGGTTGAACTGGGGTCTCTTTGGTTCCATCATATTTCAGCTGAAACTCTCGGCTCTTGTTGAGTGCACAGCGAAGGTTTGCTTTCCACTTTGCAGGATCAGGCTCATCCACACCTTCCTGGTACTTGCCCGTTTCAAGAGCCCATGCCTTGAGAGACAAAAGTCTTTTTAATGGCAAACACTAGATGGTTTCTACCAAATCCAGTTTGTTTTCAGATTTTTCAAACAGATAGGAATTGTTCAAGCGGTCTATGTTTTAGTTAATTTTATCTACACCTATAGAGGCATTCTCAGGCTCTGTCTAACGAGATTATAATCATCATCCAATCTACAATGGGCTGTCAAGTTTTTTCCCCCACACACTTTCATAATATAGAAGGCTACACTTCTTTGCACTCTAACAACTTCACTAGCCTGTATTAGGCTTCTTTATATTTCACATACAACCGACAGAGCTGAGCAGACAGTTAAGCGTGTCACCCGGTCCTGAGGGGCGAGGTCAGGGGTTATCCACTCACCTTGAAGATGGTGTTTTCCTCTTCTGAGGTTGGCAGGTGTCGTGTCGCGTGTTTCCACGGGATCTGAAAGAGGCGGCGGTCCGCGCTGAGCCACTGCAGACCGGGGTATCTACCACTACTCACCTGGGCCAAAAGCCAGGGCTTTAACCGCACCCTCCGGGGCTGTGGGGCGCTCATTCTGTAGGCAGCTACGAGAAAGAAATAAGGGGAAATGGCACATATAATTTCAATAGCGCTGTAGCCTATGTTAAACAATCACACTAACACGTTGCCTTGTAATAATTAAATCTCCAAACTAATATCGTTCTGTCTAGTGTTTGGGGAAGTTGATCACGAGTAGGCTACAATTTGTGACAAAAGGCCTCTTTGGGTGATAAGCCAAGCAGACTTGCATGCAAATGTCGTAAAAATCACTGAATTGGTGGCTATGGTGACTATGGACCACCTGAGTGTGCACTGACAAATCTACGACTTACCTGAACCGGGCCGGGCCGCAGCCAGCCGACGATGCTCCTTGGGCGAGTTCTCTCTTATCTATCATACGCTGCAACTAAACAACTAATAGCCTACCCATTCGTCACACTTGAAAGAAAGGTCTGCAAAACTTGACGGAGACTTTGACAATGCTCGCACACCAAGCTGTTCGCTCGGCTGTCAGGACGTCCTCCAGTTGGAAATCGTAAGTAGTAGCTTACAGAATAAAAGCCCAAACATAAAGCTAGTTTACCTATACAAACACACGTGAAGTGTCCTTTCTTTATTTTCTGTGTGATTTTACCAGACGAGGCAGCAAAGACAGAAGTCCGCTTTCTTCCGGCTTAAAAGCCAACAACAGTAGGTCCCCGTTTATTTAGAAAGCAGAAGCAGACCGTTTCCGCGGTTCTCTGTAAGGAACTAACAAATTCCTACAAAAGCAGCCCACTGCAGGTTCCTCCTTCTTCCGCTAGTGGATATTATTATAGGTGAGCATTCTGTCATTAACTAAATAGAAATTAGGCCAGCGAATGTTTATTTCTGCCTTAGTAGGCCCCCAAAGGTAGCTTATCTCATGCTTGAGTAAACCTTAATTTTAGCAGAACGATTTTATAGGAACCGTATTTAGCCTGCTGTTTTAAAAAATGTTTTGATTGTACTACTACAATCAACCTGGGTTGCCAGTACCCAAACCTGCAGATATAATACGTATAGGCTACTTGTTTTCTCAGTATATGAACAGGCCATACCTCATGTGAAAGGTTCAGACCCTCCAGAATTCACTCACTGAGCTCGAGGCAGCGCTAGCACTGATTAGTGGCTGCAAGTGCTGGGGTTTAGGTAGAGGCCATTCAGATAAGAGTCCTTTTAGGTTTTAACCAACTGGATTTTAGTGTTGAAACTGGCAACCGTAATGACGCTCGTTCTATCAAATGACAGCTCAACTACCATACCAAAAACGCCAAATTATATAAATGGACTAATAGGATCATCAAGTTCAATGTTTTTGCAATTCATATTCTTATCAGGAAAACTATATTTTTAATATGATTACCTGTCTAGGGACAATAAACACACACACACACACACACACTCATTTAAAACCTAAAGTTTCGCTATAGCTACGGTTTGCATTGTTAGATGACCTACCTTTTAGTCAATTTGAAAACTTTGGACACCTTCAGCTGTACTGAGAGACTATTCTACTCATGTATGTTATCCCATAGGCTGTAAGTGCTTATTTTGTCATGCAACACGAATCCATGGTATGCTGCATAGGCCTACATTACCCACATGATGGATGTAGTGTAGTACCACAAGAGGGCGGTGAAGACACATACTTGGCATTGGGGAAGGAAACCAATAATATACTTATAAAATAAAAAAAAAAAATACATGGTAAATCAATCATAGTGCATTGAATGTCCTTTCAATCAGCCTTAAACAACTTTTAAGATTTATGTCAATGTTTTTAATTCGTTAAAACTCACAAGAAGCGTTTTGTTTCATTCACAAATGTTAGAGTAATCCTGAAATGGCATCACCCCTTCCAAAGTTGAAATGCTTTGTTCCACCTTGTGATGTGATAATGTGTCAATTTAAAAAAAGCTCTGGTGTATGGATATTTTTTAATCATCATAAGTACAGAGCAGACAGGGAGTATGTGAAAATGGATATTTTCTCTGTACTCAAGCCTCAAATGTAAGGAAAATAGACCTACAAGATTATTCAAACATACATGAATCAACTGAAAGATAATTCTGTAAAGTAACCTGTTTCACACATCCGCATATTCAAATGAATCTCAATTTTGAAGCAATCGGCTATTGTTTTAGCTTTGGTGTCCCAGCAGATGGCACCAGTAGAGACCATATCATGGCACCCTCAGACGGTATCTTCCAATATGTTGTCTGGTCATCAGGGCTGAATTACTTATATTTGTTTCCTACATGCATTATGGTAAGCTTTAAAAGAGTGGCCAAAAGTAGAATTCTGCATAATATTGAACTTTTTAGATGCTAGAGTTATGTACCTGTGACACATGTCCTGGTCAGATTAAATCATTCATACAGATCTTCGGATCCTATACAGATTGCAGTGACCATTGTGTTGTATGGGTCATTCGTTTGACTTGTGGTACTGTGGCTGACCATATTAGTACATCCTAAAGTAGAGTGCTCCTGTTGTACACTGCTGTCTGCTCCTTTGGCTCTCTGCAATAATGTCACTGGGTCGATTAAGCCCTCTGACCTTTCTTGTGCAGAAAACGCAATTGTGGCACTGCTTCCTGTATTTGTTGCTTCACTCAATGTTGATGGTGAAGGAAGTATAGACTGTTTTCTGGTATAGAGGCCGTAAGGTCCGTGGAGACTACCTGAGCAAGATGGTTCTCCACTCATTGCTGGCCGACAGGTGACCTGTCCAGCAGAAGATAATACTATATTTAGTTAGGGTTAAGGTACACTAGTTTGTATTTTTGTTATTTTAGATTTAGTTTGTTGGTTCTCTGCATACATTTTACACAAGAATTCAGCCATTTCATGCTTCGTGAACCTTTTTGAAAAAGGCATGCAGGATGTACAGATGGGCAAGATCTAAAATCACAGCAAGACACTCAAAACACTTGTGTAACATTTGTGTTTTACTGTTTGTGGTTTTCAAATGCTAGAATGTGATGCTACACACCAAGCTGGATGGCAAATTCTAAATTTAATACTGTCAGTTGTATAGTGTTAAGATTTTTATTTATTTATTTATTTATTTTTACCTATTTACCAGGTTAAAAACTCACTGACATTAACAATCTGTTTCAACAGTGACCTGGAACTGCCCCATCTCTACTGAATATTATAGACCCATTAAAAGTTGCCATGTCATCTAAAATGCAGCATGGTCTAGTTTGATTTATTTAATTTAATACCTCTGTCGGTTGTATCTCAGCTTTCGCTTTTCGTTTTTGCTTGTTGTGCTTTCTCCTGAGCAGTCTTAACAGCAGAAACAGGGCAGCTGTTAATAAGAGCAGTAAGATGGCAGCTGAAATTGCTCCAGTCTTAATATGTCGAACAAACGGCTCCTCAGTGAATGTTCCATGAGGAACTGCAATATAAAGCACAGAACCATTGAACATGGCCAATGGTTAGTATATGTGTTAGCAAGATTTCTGTCTAAACTCAAATTGATCTGCAAAGTATATTAAAAAAAATAACTATTCTTTGGTTTAACTGTAACTTTTGAAAAACATAACTAGTAACAGTTTCTGAATTTCATTATACTATAGTATAATGACAATAAAGGCTTTCTATTGTTTTCTATTCTATTCTATTTATTTGTGCTTACTGGCTTGTCCTCTCTGCAGGACCTCAATATCCACTGAAGCCGATACTTCCTCACCTGATTCTTCATCTCTGGCAGTTACCTGCAGAGTCATCACACAGGCAGAATTAATATAATTGGCATAATATCTAGCATAATCATTTAAAACTTTTAAAGTCACTGATTTGGTTGTGACTACAGCTTCACAGGAGTTTGAGGACCTCATGCTGAGAAACCTTTACTGAGACCTCCTGCAGTTAGCCTAATGTGTCAAACTGTGACACTGCACCTGTGTGTTTGGATAAGCACTCAGCTTAGGAAAAGTGTGTGTGTGACCGTTGTGTAAGGACCTCGGGTTTTGTTTTATTTCATTTTTAAGTAGACTGTGGCATATTTATGGTTAAATTTTAATTTATACAGACCAGATAGAGATGTGTTGAATTAAAGAGGGGTACAGTAGATTTCGTGGACAGAATGCACATGAATGGACAGAAAATTGTGTCATAACGTTTGGATAAATAACTATTCAATACATCACTATTGTGTTCTGCTAGATCCCAGTTATTCTATTTCACTTTAGGCCTTTACCGTTCCTTGAGCCAAACAGCAAGGACAGGAGCAGTGTAAAGAAGCCTACCTGTATGTTGTGTCTGTCAAAGGCATAGAGGTGGTCTGTTCTGGCTATGAGCACTCCTTGTGTAATGTGGTACAGCCCCTCTGTGACTGACACACTGTAGAGGTAGTACTGCACATTTGGGTTCCGCCCCTGGTGGGACAATGCTTTGTAAAACACTATTCATGAGGATCACAGTTGTACACATTAAAAAAACCTGCTTACATCTGGAAAGTCCAGGTCTACAACCTGGATGAGCAGCACCTGATTCCTGTAAGTGGAGACTATGGCAGCAGGACTCGAGCTTTGAACCACAAAACCTTTGTATGTGGATTGGTTGAAAACCGGGGGATACATGTTCTCCGCCAGAACTCTGACAAGGACTGATGCAATGCTGTATTTGAATGGGTCATCAAGCTGAGAGGCCTGACAGTGAGAACAAGTGCATTGGTAAATGGTTAAAGGGACAGGTGAAGCAGTGAAGTGAGAGTACCATGATGTTGAGTCTGAAGAATGGTGTGTGACGCCGGTCGTCTGCAGCTCTAGTTAATGTGATGTGGCCTGTGCTGCTGTTGATCACAAATCTGTCCAAGTCACTGCCTGTGTTCAGACGCCCAGCTGTCACTGGAGGAAAACTTAATGACAGGGACAATCCAGTTGTGTCTCACCTGAGAGGATGCTGTACTTCAGAGGAGTGTCCAGACCCCGGTCTCCATCTTCAGCCCTTATTGGGCCAGGAGAAAACTTCAGCACAAGGTTCTGTGTGGAAGAAATGAAACCTTCACGCACTTATTTGTGTCTATTTAGTAGTACTAAGTGGCACAGATAGGGGCCTTTGGAAGCTTTGCTGTGCTAATACTGCAATATATAACATGTACATACTTTTTTTTTTTTTGATTGATTTAGAATCAACACCCCATTTCACAGAGACACATTTTAAACAGATTCTTTATCCACATTATTATGAGTTATATGGGATACATTATTAAATTTCAAAATGCTTATTCTGCTTGCCTTTTGTTTTTCAGTGACATTGGTGCTATAGGAAGGGTTAGTGCAGACCGGAGGATCAGGAGATAGCATCACACAGGGCAGAAAGTGAGGATACTGGTCATCTCCATCCTGGACAGTGATGATCACATAAATGGAGGTATTGAACATTTCTGCTGTATTAGTTTCCTAAGAAAATCCAAAGTACCCATAAAATGGAGTTTATTTTGCTATGAAACTGAAAGTGTCTTTCAGATTTGATTAATGTATTAACGTTATTACCATGGCCCAGATCAACAGCTTCAGGTTTTTTTTGGTCTCATAGTCCATGGGCTTGTCCAGAACTACATTGCCACTGTTTGGTTGATCAATCCTGAAGAAGGAGGAGTCTAGCTGCGGATAATTAGGTTACAAGTCAGGTGTTAAGACATAAAATATCCTTAACGGTTTGGGTTAGGCATTTTAATTAAATCAGATTATTTATAATTTCAAGAATCTGAATCACATTGTTAGACTACTGACCATCATATTAACCTTCAGACTGCACATAATCATCACTGACCTGGAATTATTCTATGACAAAGAACTAATTCTCACCGTTGATGGGTCAATGGTGTATCTAAGCATGTCTCCATCAGCGTCAGTTGCCTTTACAGTGAAAACAACTGTGTTTACTCCTGCAAACTGGAAAAAACATTACAGTTTAAAGTTGAACTAAAGAACACCTAAACTCCTCCCTGCAACTACATTTCAAACAGAGCTGGTAAACTGAGCAGTGCTTAGAGGACTAAAGAAAAAAGTGAGCAGGGTTTGAAAGTATAATAAACTGTGTGACTGGTATCCACTTCAAACTGCACCCCTGAAGCCAGGTGTTTGTAATCAGAAACACCGGCTGTAGTCAGGCAAGTCATACGTAATGTCACTAGCTTCTTGAAATTGAGGGCAGCACAAATTTAAATTGAACAGAACAGAATGTTGTAACTTACTACTAAAATTGCCAAAAGAAAAATAATTAGGAACAATAGATAATGCAATTGAAACACTATGTACACGGTTTAGTAGCATAAAACGTTGATTGAGTTTAGTTCAACCCTATGTTAAAAGCTAAGCAGCACTTTTTTTTTTCTTGAATTGTTTATTTTCTTATTATTTTGTTTTGGGTGTTGTGTTCTGATACTCTGTCTTCTGTGCTCATTAAGTGGAAGTAAATGCCCAGTTTTGCCATTTTAAACACCATAATTTTATCAACATGAAATGAACTGTAGTTTCATTCTATAAGCACACAGTGCCTTAGCAGTGCTGGTCAAAGCACTTAATCACAAGGCCAAAAAGTGTCACATTTAGAAGAAAAAGATCAAGAAAATGCAATCACATTTTCTTTTTACAGAATAGAAAACATAAAATAGGATATTTAATCAATCCTTTGGAAGGATTATTGAAGTATTAGTTTTACTCCTCCAACACCTTTTTACAAAACAAAAGCAGGTCTTTTTACAACCCAACCCCAAAGTCTGGTGGTTTGTGCGTTTACCTCGCTGATGGTGATGGCTTTTGATTCCTGTGAAAATTCTGGTTTGTTGTCATTTTCATTCAGAATCTGGATCTGGATCCTGTAGTGTCTCTGTTACCAATAATTCATGAGTCCTGTCACATTTCACTGCAGCATTATTTGAGAACATAATATGATTCATTTTGAAAACTCACTTGTACAAAATTATCATGGCAGATGAGCTGCGCAATCAGCAGTGAGCCTTGGACCTGTAGGATAAGGCAGTGTGAGACATGTGGCACAGGGTGAGACAGTGTATGTGCTAAGGGCCAGGGTGTATGTGGTCAGGAGTACCTCTCTGTCTAGGACCTTGGAGTGGGAGATATTGAGGCGGATGGTGGGTCCATCCAGAAACATCCAGTGTGCATTTGGCCCTTCTAGACAAAGCCGGAGGCCATTAGACCCAGGCTCTGCTGTGAGGTTGGTATTGGCTATGAACTGCCCCATGGGACTATTTTCTCTAATGGCTGCAGAGATGTCAGAGCTGCCCTGACAGGGACTCCCTGGTGAGACAAAGAACTGACTCATTCTGTTTAAGTCTGACTTCCTCTGTCTAACAATCTCTTACCGACAACAGCATGGGACATCAGACGCAGTGTCACCTGCAGCAGCAGCAGTCTGCACCTCTTCAGCATTTTCTTGTTTCAGTCTCTGTTCAGGAAACCCAAGTGCTCACATTGAGTTCAAACTGCTCGCAAAAAATTCACTCAGCCTGAAAAGACCTTTGACCTTTTCCTGACTCAAAAAATTCCACAAATAAATGCTAAGTTTGTGGTTCAGGTAAGCACAATCTTATGCTGTTATATATACAGCGTAAATGCCCAGAATGCTGTAAGTGTGCGCTCACCTGTGTGTCTATGAAGCTGATCCATGGAGCAGTGTCTTATATGCCGCCTATTGGTGCTAGTCTGTCATGTTTTTATATTCACATATTCAGCTGTGTCTCCAAACCGCCGCCTGCCTCTGTCCATTTATGTGAGTGTATTAGCAGCTCATAAGGCTTAGCAATAATGAGCTCACAAGTAGGTCAGCGGGATTTTACTCCTTCGACATATTTGCACACAACAGCAACAAGCAATTACATTTATTTATTTATTCTTCAAATGTGGCTTAGACCGACCAGTAAATGAACCAAATTTCATTCATTCAGAAGTGGCGGAGCCATTACGCAAGGGGGCCCTCTGGGGTTATAGTGAAGGAGCCATACGTTTTTTTTTTGTTTGTTTGTTTGTTTTTTTAACCAAGCTCATAGTTATCATTCATCTACAAATTTAACCAATCTAGAGCACGCGTTCATAAAAGCTGGCTTATAGTTCTGCGTGGGCCCTGCTGATCTGGGAGCTCACATCCTGATGCAGTCCTGAACCAAACGAGCTTCTTCAGACCTCATCTGGGCCCACGAACGTCCTGGGAATCCAAACTATTAATTTGGATGAATTATTAGTTGTTGTTTTTTTTTTTATTATTATTATTATTATTTATTTATTTACTGTGAGTGTCAATCGTGTTAGGCCCATACATATATTTCTGTGCCAAATATTAGTTGTTCCATGCCATTTTAATCAGTCTGTATAGTCTTTGTGGTTCAAACCACAACAAACACCGCATTCTTTCAGATTGACTTGAATGTGCGTTGGGGAACTGTGCTGCACTTCCATGTAGATTTGAAAGCTGGCCTTAAAGCCAACAAGTGAAGTGACAGCCAAAGCTGGTAGCTCAACCAATCACAGAGCCTGAAATGTTTTGTTTCCCCAGAGTGGCACGGGGCTTCTTTTTACTTCTCAATGATGCTGTCTGTATCGAGCTCATCTCAGAGAGATTACACAGCCCAGTCATCCGCTTTCTCACTGAAGCTCAGTTATTTCACATGGCTCTATGCACCTGCGAGCGCAGTACCAGGTGTTTCCAAGACGCATAATTAAAGTGCGTTCATTAGAGTCATCATGGCTGTTTGTTACCCCTCCCCCTCACCACGATCTGCCCTGTGCTTTTGTCTCCCACATGTGTTTGTGTCTGACATTATGAGCTGTCTGCTATTGATCCACTTTCTCTTGTCCCTTATCAAAGAACAGACAGGCCAATCAAAGCAACCAGCTTTGAAACATGAACTCTATGGATTGCAATCTAACAAGTTACTATGACAACTGTAGTAGCTCTTGGACCTTTGTCTGGTTATCTGGGAAATTTGTGAATATAACCTTAAATTGGATGTCTAATTATACAGCCCCATGCACTCCTATGCACTCTCAGATAACATGTATTTACACTCATACTACTGTTCACATTTGCACATCTGGTTCAGGAATAGTCATGCACTGGAGGAGTGTGCAATTTGAAAGGTTGTTTCTCATCACGCTTTTCCCTTTGCTGTCAAATTTAGACCTAAATCTTTGTTAAAGAATTTATGATTTTCCGTAAATATAATGGATCTGTTTATTTATAATCTAAGTTCCCACTTGTTCCCAACATTTACTGATATCATAATTGAAAAAGGTTGTGCATGAGCGATTTGTGGAGGACATTGCTGTGGTCTCTAAGCATTGCCCACAGTGACTGAACTCAAACTTCAAAACAGACCCGTGCTTATTTCCCCTAGAGACAGTATGTTGGACATACACTCTCTGTGTTGCCGTGGTTACTCCCTGCGGTTAGTCTTTATCTTTGATTGGACTCCATGCAGAAAATATCAACCCCCTACAATGAACACAGTAATACAATAAAACCACATTTTATCCACCACTGTGACGATGCTCCCTTTGTCTCATAGGTTCTAGTTGAGAGGAACTGTGTAGGAATTACTCAAAGACAGAAGGAGGTAGGTGGACAGCTGCCCGCCCACCTAACAACACATGTAGGTATTTGTCAGAATGTAGTCCCACTGAACCACACCACCCTGTCACAGTAATCATTAACTCCTATACATTCTGAACTGTTTCAAAGATGCGTCATCAGATGTATGTATGTTTATTTATTTATGTTTGAACAATTTGTTGAAGTTTATTTGATTATGTTACCTTTACAAATAATAACTTTTAATAATTGACTTCCAAGTTTGCAACAATTATTTCATGGTATTAATTTGCACAGATTATTCTCTAAAATAAAACAATTAACCTCAGTCCATGGTTCACACATGATCACATTTTATGCCTCTGGGCCAAGAAGACACCATAGTAGACACCTTGGTAGTTTTGATTTTAAAAAAATGTTTTCAGGGACAATGAGACACATGGATTCAGTCTCATGTCTGGCAGCAAAGCAGTTTGTGAAAGACGTTTCTGAACTCCGGGTTAAACACTGTGTAAATGATGGGATTCACTGCGCTATTGACATAACCCAACCAGGTTACTACTGAAATCAGGGTGGGACCGATGTGGCAGGACTGACACAACACATTAGTGACGTGAACTACGAAGAATGGAGTCCAGCAGGCCAGGAACACACCTATGGATAATATGGGAGAAAAAAAAAGTTATTCAAAAATGTCTGCTTTGAAACTTACATCAGAAATGCTTGAGTGACCAAAATAATTCAAGTTAGATCTAAGTCAGTTTTAAACAATCTTTATAAATTAAGCCTGATAATGTCACCTGCTTGTCTCCATGGAGATAGATGTGCCATGGAGACATGTTTAATGCCAAACTGTGGAACATTCCAGGCAAAGCATTGACTTCTCAATGGAGAGAAGCAGGTAGCGGTCCCTCCACCTTTAAAAATGCACCTTTAACTTGGATTTGACGTGGAGCCAGTGGTCTCAAAGGCTACAGTGTAGTTGTTGTCAGGAAGTAAAATGCTCAAAATGAATGTATTCTTTCATCTTACTGCCATCACAGCTTTTCACAAAGTTTCTCTGTATGTGATGATTGAGATTAAATTTAGCTCTAGTGTGAATCTGCCGGTGATCCAGTAAAATGGTTTCCAGGGAGATAGTTTCTATTTTGATTGTGAAGCTCGCAGCTTCTCTCTGTTAGTGAAAAACATGCAAACTCCAACTGAGAGGCACAGAGTCTCATTTACCATCCGTAAGCATCACCACATTAAAGAATGAAGAACATTTAAACTGATAAGCATAATCATCCTACAGTCTCTTTCATATATTCCCATATTTGCCTGTCACCATATCATTAACATGCACTATTGTTCTGTCCATACTGTGTATATATTTTATATTTAAAGGAACTATATGTAAGATTCCAATTGAACATTTCACAAAGATGAGCACTATGTGTCCCTAGATATGAGGTTAACATGTTCAAATTATGCTTTTGCTAATAAGAACTGTAACAATGATTTTATTCCTAATTACAAAAACATTGGACATGATGGCCGATACTTAGCAGCACGTAAAATACTATTACTTTATGTTGCACTATATTGAACTAGTTTGTGAATTTTGTTCACCAACAATGGAAATCTTGTGTTTCTGATTGTTGATCTACTTATGAGATTTTACACTTGACTCACCTACTACCACTGGCAGGACCTTCATGGCTTTGCGCTCACGGCCACTCACTCTGCTGCTCTTGCTGTTTCTTCTACCTCTTTTCACTGTGTTGCTTTTGGAGGAACATTTTCCTCGCCGGCTGCCATCCCTCCTATCTGTCAGGTCTGCATCGGACACGCTGTCATTCTGCATTGTCATGGGGTCACTCTCCATCACCACAGCTTCCCCATCCTGCTCATCAGTCACCGGGGTAATCGATGGAGTAATCTGGGAAATAGTGGAGGGGGAAGTTGGGCTCAGACCAGGTGCCACTGCATACACAACCTTTTCTTGACTTCCTGTTGTCGAGGCTTTAGCGCGGCGGAGGGCGGAGTTTAAGTGCAAGGAGAGGGTGTGGCGATTATCCCATCCAGCCTGGGATCGTGAGCGCCCACTCCAGCGTTTAAGACCACGAAACATCCAGTAATACAAGAAGAGCATGACAGGACAAGGCACAAAGAAGGAGCAGACTGAGGAATAGACCACGAAGCGATCATCCTCCAGTTTACACACACTGGGGTCTCGTCCTGGAACCTGGTTCAGACCGAAGATGACAGGACTAGCTACACCCAGAGACAAAACCCAGGTGGCAGTGATGAGGGCCAGCTGCCGTACACTGAACTGGTTTCTGTTGTACTTGAGAGGTACTACCACTGCAATGTACCTGAAAGAATAATAGGATTTGGATTATAATAAGTTAATCAAATAGTGATTAACTGTAAATTGTATACGAGTTTACTCTGCTGCTTTCTTTTATTAAATAATAGCTGCTTAAAATAAAATTAATAAAGTATTAAAAGTATTTCATCATAGACAAAAAGATATTTTTAACAATTTCATATTATGGAAATTCTAATATACTGCCCACCATAATTTGCACTCATGCTCAGCACCCCGTTTATGTCTAATCTATGGTCTGCTTTTAACTTGAGCTGTTATACTTGTAAATGTATTTGGAGCCTGTCTCACCTGTCCACACTGATAGCACACAGATTGAGGATGGAGGCGGTACACAGCATTACATCCATCGTCATCAGTGCGTCGCAAGTGGAAGTGCTCAGTGTCCATATTCCTCCCATGAACTATACAAATACAACATAGAAACAGAAACAGAAAAAGACTATGTAGCAACATTACATTTACATCTGAAAATCACATGTCACTTTAAAACGATATTACACTACAACAAATAAAATGTAATTGAGAGTTACAGACCGCAAAGAAACAATTCTTATGCAAGGGCTCAGTAATGTGCCCATCCTGTGTTGTCTATAGATGCAAGAAATCTTCTATGAGGTTCTTGGGGAAATTAATACGATTTAATTAAGAACAGTCACCTGACAGCAAGGTTGCACAACACTGATTGTAAGATACATTCTTTCAGTTATTAAATGGATAATTTAGCCATAGATAATGTTAATGTATAGTTCATATCAGCATGGCTTTTTAAATTAAATGTCCTTATTGTGAGACTATATAGCCTCAGATATGAGACTTGAATAATTATGAATAAATGAATTATTACCTCCGCCAAGGAGGTTATGTTTTTGCCGGCGTTTGTCTGTTTGTTTGTTTGTTTGTTTGTCTTTTAGCAACATAATTCAAAAAGTTATGGACCAATTTTGATGAAATTTTCAGGATTTGTTGGAAATGTGAAAAGGAAGAACTGATTTCATTTTGGGGGTGATCCGGAAGAAATCCTGGATTCTGGATCACTTTGAAATTTTTGTTAACATTGTGGTAAATGGGGCCAAAAATTTTGTTTCTCAATATCTCGGTTAATTATTGACCAAACCCCATGAAATTTGACTCAGAGATGGACAATGGGATCCTCTTTCATATTCCAAAGGCTGATCCGGATCTGATCCAGAAGACTGATTTTATCGCAATTTATATAAAAAATGGGGGTAGTCCTTGGCGGAGGTCTGCGCTCTCTGAGTGCTTTTCTAGTTATTTTTGTTATACTTTGTTTATTTCCAGATAAGAAAATGAGCAGATCTGACAGAAGATAGAGTACAAAGCTCTTTCTTAATATTTTAATTAAGCCTTTATACCATTTATTATCCAATTAAACTAAGTAATAACAAAACTAAGAAAATTTGGCATACACTTACACTTTATTGTTCCTGTATGGAAACTTGTCCCCTGCATTTGATCAATACTTCAAAGCAATTGGGGGAACTTTTCGGGAGCAGGATTTAACTCTAAGATAAACTTCGTCAGCAGTGGATTTAATCCACTGCTGAAGTAGTTTTGTGGCCTCTTGGCCAGGACGCTCTTGAAAAAGAGATTTTCAATTTCAATGAGACTTTTTCCTGGTTAAATATAGGTTAAATAAATAAATAAAATAATCTATACTGTGCATGTCTTGAGTTGATTGGGGAAACCAGAGTGCCCATAGGAAACCCACCATGGGGAAAAATATGCAAACAAAGCATGGGCATCAAACCTGGAAGCTTTTGCTAGATGCATTTAGGAGCATCAAATTTGATATTTTGATATTTAATTACATTATTGTGCATCTTTGTGCTTATGGAGTAGACATATATTTTCATGTATTTGTATCTAACCTCAGAGTAGACGTAGAGGGGCAGCACCAGCACAGCCAGCAGCAGGTCAGCTATGGCCAGACTGAAGATGAAGTAGTTGGTGGCAGTTTTGAGGGAGCGCTCCGTGAGCACGCTCAAACACACCAGGATGTTTCCCAGGATTATGATCAATATGAGAGCCACCCCCAAAATCAGGGCCAGATAGTTGTAGTCCACCAGGCCCAAGTCATCTGGGAGGCTCTCCAACGTCACATTGTCCATGATGGAGGACATGCACACAGCCACATCTGTAGCTTGAGTCTTTTGCCAACAGTCAATTCCAGAAACACAGGAAAGTGAAAATAATGCTTATAAATGTACCTTTTGCAGTTGTTAAATGTCCTTGCGTTTGTATGTCTTTGGTGAATGAACAGTATTGAAATGCAGACGGGCCTGGTCTTTTCCAGTCTTTACCTTGCTGGTGATCATTATGACTCTGCTGATTTGAGTTTCTTGGACATCCCTGCAATGACAAGATAAACCAGTTATGTAAAATATAGAAGTATTTGACCTGATGATAATATTCTTTATAATAAGTAAAAAAAAAAAACACAAGATACACAGTAGGACTAAGTTTGCAATTTACTGTGTTATTACCAATTGTTTATGTACTTATTTTCATTGCCTTATGTTGAAGCTCAGCACTCCCACTTCCATGTATGGAATGAGGTTGTGATAAATGTCAGCTGTACTGTTTTGGTGAAGTGTCTCTTTGGTTTGATGCTCTAAAGCCTATGATGCTCAGACTGCTTTGGAGTGTTTCCATGGCAGGGGCAAACATAAACAGATCTTGTTTGTTTTTTCTATCCTACACATTTGCTTTGAAAAGTAAATGCATCTTAAATAGTTTGTAAAGCTTTGCTTACACATATTTACTTTGCAACCATCATAAGTCCTCAAACAGGTCCTTTTTTTTCAGGCACTGTGATTTTCTTTCTCAAAGTGACATTTTGTCTTTGACATGCTTTCTTAGCTTACATTACTGGTTCTTTTACAAAGCTTGCGTAAAGCACTTTTCATCTGAAGTGTTAGGATAGAGCTGGGTTTAATTGGATTTCTGGTAACTATGGTAACGTTTTCATTAACAGAAAAAACATGCATAATACAACGCATCATGATTTTAAAAAATAGTAAATTTTGACACATTATTCACACAAGTAAGGATTACATAACAACTATGTGTTGGGTAATTTTCATTCAAAATCCATATTAAATTTATTAAAAATATATTGGATATCTATTTTGACAAATCTCTGCATTATATTTACCCAGACTAGACTCAGTTTACCCAGTTTGCACTGCTAAGCAGTCACAATAGGCTCTACGCCACTCTTGGGCTTAATAACAATAATAATAATAAGAAGAAGAGTTTTTTTTGTCACTTGTCTCTTAGAAAAGGGAAACCTTAAGAATAATGGTTCTATATGGCAATGCACAGAAACATGGTGACAGTGAAGAGAATTATCTAATATTGTATACACATAACACAAGTCCTCTGCTAATACTCAGGTTAGTGTCCCTCAGGACCGGTCTCTGGGTGAGCTCTGAGAAGGGCAGGTGAGAGCCAAGGTGTTGCCACATCATGAGCACCAAAAACAGCAATAAAATGAAAAAAAGAAGACAATAACCACCATAAATATTCAGCAACACAACCTCTCTGGCTCGTGATAAAAGCCATGGACCAAAAGCTGTCAGTGTGCAGAGTGATGCTGGTGCAAGTTAACAGTACTAGGGGACTTTCATGTTTTAATTGAGAGCCGAGGGTGCAAAGCACTTTGGTGATGATTGTTGTGGGATGGTTGGTGGAAGGGCTGTGTAGCTGCCTCGCCTGCTGTCAGTCTATAATGGCTTTGTAACAAGCATATTCCACACACAAATCAGTACTCCCTATCTCCCATTCACTAACAAGAAATCATCAGAACCACTACACAATTATACCACAAAGCATTTATTTGGTTTCATTTCTTTCATGAAAACCCCATCTCATGTCATCACCTCAAAGGTACTGCTCCACTGCATACTCAAAATCAGAAGCTTGTGAAATGCAACTTTTACCTGACATTAAGTGCATTGCTATTAAAAATGTATGTGCCGTGTATTTGTATTTTGTGGATAATGTCATGTAATAATATGGAGCAGCTTGTTTTGCCATATATGCATGAGTCAAATGACAGACTGCTTCCACCGTGTTGACAAATGGCTAAATGAGCAATATATGTCAAAATATGAAACTGCATGGCTCAACATCAAACTTCAATGTCAAAAGGGAAAATTTGAATATCAGAAAATTCTCTGATTTGCTGAAAGGTGCACTGGGTAACTTTTCTGGTGGAGGACCAGTCACCTGCTTGTCACCAGAAATGTTAATATTTTCCCTGAAATGTTTTATATTATGACATTAAAAATGAAAATACTGAGGGTGACTCTTTTATGTCTACCTGGAGATACTGTGGAACATTCCAGGCAAAACAATAACATCTTCATGGAGACAAGGAGGCAAACCATCCTTTAGAAATGTTACATAATGTACCTTTAACTACTGTCTTACTTTTTTCATTTCTAATGTTTCAGTTACTGCCTCATTCACTTTTCTGCAGATCTTATGTTCTTGCTTGGAGCTGAGGTGCTGCATTTCATCCACATTACATAACTAATTGTGTTTGTCATGTGAAATTGTGTCATTTTCACATTTTCTCAAGGTGGCTTGCAGACCAAATGCCAGTATAGCCTAGAGCACTACAAGCCCTTACATTTGTAGACAGGTTTTTGATGAGCAGAACAGGGCTGTGTAATTCTGTGTAGGGGTCACATTCTAACAGGTGCCAGTAATGATGATGATCATGTGTCATCAAGCCTTCACATACACGCGGCTGGGGCCCGGGGTTGCTGATGTGCTAATGGTTTCGTTCCTGCCAACTCTCCAACCATTAGGCTACCTCCGCATCTACTTGTCAGTGAGCCCAATATTGCGCCACTTGTACAATTCATTTAAATGAGATATAAACAGACCTTCTTGCAATCATTTTTTGAGAGTGAAACTATTTTTCTATTTTTTTGGTATATTTCTTATTTTATCTCAAGGAGATATAACTATGCTTTTTCAGTCCTTTTTTTAGTTCTAGAATGATCTAACATGCATAGATCATCCTGTCTCTTCATATGGCCTTTTCCAATAACAAGCAGCAAACGGTCATGTTTTAATGTTGAAAAATGGTTAGGTTGTGTGACAGTACAAAGCAGTGGGCAGAGATAGGGAGTACGTAAAAACAGACATTTTTTGAGATGCCTCAAATGTAGCACAATGCAGGATTAACTCAAGCGAGAGTGGAAATGGAAATACAACTCTGATAACAAACTAAGGAAGAGGGAACACTATTAGAATTAAAAGCTGATAAAAGTAAATTTTACCTAATATGTCAACTTTTATTGTTGTTTATTGAGATGGTGGATGGTTTGTTTTATTGACATAACACAAAAACGACACCGATCAACCTTTTTCCTCTTAGCTTCTCCTTGAGGTGAGTGATGAATCTACTTTGGCACACACCCTCATTTATCTGAGCATGACTTTTCAAATACACCTTAATGTTAGAATTGTCTGTAATTAATTTGAAGTCTTCCCTTATTTGGTCCCCATGAAGTGAGCTCCAGCTGCTGCCTTGTGTTTTTGACCAAAAAGGGGCCATCAGGAGCCTGTCATTTTCGAAATAACAGGCCCCGTCTTTTGAGGCAGAGAAGGCGCAAACATTAAGACCTCTCCACCACGAAACCATAGCAACTGACCATAAGATGTTTACCACTGTGTTGAATTATGGGTCCTAATCAGAGCTTACCACCTGGAGAAGGAAGTCAGGAAGTTAAGCCAGTATGCCACACAGTGTAAACATATTTCAACTCAGTTTATCTTTCATTGTAATTCACTGGTTTATTGCTTATTCTGAGTTCCATGTAATTTATATTCAAATGTGACCATAAGTGGACTTTCTGTACTGCATGTCCAAGGAGCTTATCTGTGATTGGCCAATTCAGTATTACATTATGATATCTATGAGCTGTGACAGAGGAAGAGGACCAATCATGAATTAATCTGCAGAGCCAGGTGTTGCGCAGTGGGGCAGTTGTGAGGTCAGCAGGTCAACGTGACTGAGGTGACCGACTCAACACAAAACATCATGTAGGGATTAAGTCACTTGAAGAGAAAGGCATTGAATTCAAGAAAACTAAATGCTCCAATGATTTACTAATTCACCAATAATATGTGTATATTGTTTGCCTTTTATATACAAATTGCATTATAGGATATAACTGTGCAGTAAAAGGCAAACTTTCAAAATCTAAAAAGATTATTAATTTTTTTTTTTTTCAATCATAGCCCCCTGCTAACCCAATTTCTTTCTTTCTTCTTCTTTTTTGCTACCTATCCTCAAATCATGTCAATGTTTTTTCCTCTATTGTCATTTCTAACAGCATAATTTTACAAAACTTGGCAAAACTTGGTTTTAATTGGCATCACTTCTAGTGATGTGTATGTTTGGCTTTGGTTTTTAGCTACATTCCTTTCTTGATGAGTTTAACCAGGTTTAAGAACAATAGAAAGACTTTCATTTTTAAACAAATTAATGTCTTTTCACTGCTTGGTTTATTTTGAAACAGTAACCATACCTTAAATTATTGAAAATGAAACCAAACTGACACTTACATGTAGAAAGAAGAAATCCATGAGCTCTTTTAGGCAATTTCTTGGTTGTATTTCTCCATTAGCATCCAAATACCTGCTAGAATGTAGACTGGATTGTATCCAACATGGAGCAAAATTCTCTCTTACCTTCCTCTGTTCCCAACTTTTAAATAGAATGACACCACATAGCTAGCAGATTGCTCTGTATGTGCCCGCCCCTCATGATTGTCCTGCACTCTGATTGGCTTGTGGCTCTGCTGATGCGAAAGCAACTCACTTTCTCTCTCCTCCAACTATTAATATGTGCATTGAAGGGATGAGTGCCTTGACAAAACCGAATATCTCAATATTATTAGTATTTTCCTGATGAATATTCATCAGAAATGTCTTATTATTACCTGTCTTAGTTGAGGTTTATATTATACAAAAACTGAATGGAGTGTAACATTTAAAGCAAAAATGCAGAAATATCACCTTATTGTTTTTATGCTATGATAATCAGCAATTTTTGTAGACGATATACTCGATAATCTAATCTTGCACA